AGTTTCTGGTTCAGGCGTGCACGACTGTTAATCAAACCTATAAAGTTTCTTTCTTTCTTTTCTCAGTATTCATTCACTTTATTCCTTTTTCTTGTGCATGATTCAAAAACAATAGATATCACAAGTCTCAACACGAGGAGTGTTTATCTGGGATCAAATTTTCCGGTTTAATGTGAGATCGTTTGTCATTGAAAAATCGGTAACAGGAAAAAACTTAGAATCTAGACAACATTTGACATGGGAAGATATTTGTAAATTGAAAAAAGAGGTAAACGTTGATGAAAATTAAAGGGGTTGATAAAATAGAAAGAAAAAAAAAATTGGGTGAGTGAAGCTTTCTTTACAAATAGGATGACGATGGCAGCCACTTTCATACATCAAAAATAGGCATACATATCTCGGGACGGCTTTTCTTAATAGTTTTTATGACTTTTGATTTTGGGTATTTTAAAATGTTTTTTAATTTTGAATTATTATTCTTAATACCCAAACATTTTCATTTAAGAATCACGCAGATTTCATTATTTTTATTCTTAATGTTTATTTTTAAGTAAATAAATAGTATTCATTGAAATAAATTAAAAATAATAAATTTAAATTATATATTAAACAAAAATAAATTTATAATAAAATAAAATAAATTTATGCAATTTTTATTCAAGTAATTACAATAATTATGGTTAAAAATTATTTAATTGAAATCATTTTATAAAAAAATTAATTTAATTACAAAAAATAATTAAAACCATGAAGTTTATTTATTTAATAATATTAAAAAAATTTAATTCTTAGTTATACACAATTTACATTACTTTATATACACTTAAAAATATTATTTAGAAATTATAAATCATTTTTTATAATAAAAAAATTAAAATGTGTGGACTGCAGTACCTCAAAAACAAAAAGTCGTCAACCCTGCAATTTCAATTATTTTATATTTTTATTAATTTAAATAATTTATGATGAAAAAATTGTTATTAATTAATTATAATTTGTAAAAAAATATAATAAAATAATTAAAATTCTAAAAAATAAATTATAGTGAAATAAAAGAAATGAATTTTTAATTACATAATTACAATAATTATGATTATAAATTATTTAATTGAAATCATTTTATAAAAAAATTAATTTAATTACAAAAATAATTAAAATCATGAGGTTTATTTATTTAATAAAAGTAAAAAAATTAATTATTAATTAGATATAATTTATATTATTTTAAATACATTTAAAGACGTTATTTACAAATTATAAATTATTTTAATTAATAAAAAAATAAAATAAAAAAAAAGTAAAAATGTATGGGGTACACGACTTCAACAGAAGAAGTCGTTAGCCCCTTTACAATTTTAATGTTTTTATTAATTTGAATAATTTATAATTAAAAGAGATGTGATAATTGATTATAATGCCTAGTAAATGATTATCAGGTCCTAAAACGTTTTTGGAATGCACAACTTCACTTTTGATTAGTGTGTTAGGGTGAAGTGGTGTACTACACAACTTCTTCATTTGAAGTTGTCTAGATCTTCCACGACTTGCCTAAATTGATAATTTTGAAATTTTTTGCCTAGATCTATAATTTTTTGTTTAAATTTACTTACATACCTACAAAAATCGGTTTTCTATTATTTAATGTATTGATTATTTATGTAAAGAATCTAAGAAGAATAAAAGAAAAATAAAATAAAATACTTATTGAATTATTATTATGTTTAAGAACACACAACCATGACATTTTGCTATTATATCTATAAATTGGTATTGCTCTAGTAGATTGTAGTTTTATATAATTTAAAAATTAATGTCTATTATAATTTAAATACTCATTTCACATATATCTTTCAATAATAAAATTATAGAATTTTAATATTCAAAATAAATAATATATCGAGAATATCTCGACAAACTTAACATGTCGAATGTAGAAACAAAATCTCTTCTTATCTCCATAAGAACACACTATGCTATATATATTGCAAAACAACCAGTCTAATTTATTTATTGAATTTTAATATTCAATCTATTCATCAAACATAATTTCACGTTACTTTTATTAAAAAAGAAAACGTTATTTTTGTGTTTTTATTTAAATACGAGTTTTAGTGTTTTTCTACATAAATTTAATGAAAACACTTTCGTGGGTTTTAGGTTGCACTTTTCGTGGGTGAGTGTGTGGAGGGTGAAGCCGTCGCTAATGAGGAACAATGGTCGAAGTTGGGTTGATGGCTGTGTGATTCAACTAAAGCAATGCACATAATTTGAAATTATTACACAAATCATGTTTTTATTAGATGTACGTGAAAGGAGAATAAAATCTCTTATTTTAAAAGTGCACCAAGTAACACCCTTTCAAAACATATTATCTATGCAATTTAGAACACCGTTAACACATGTTTTATACAAACATTTATAATTTTTATTATATATAATTACACTCTCTATTTGTTTTATTTTTAGTTTTTAGTTTGCTTTATTTGTAATAAATTAGGTTCGTTACTAATAAATACTATAATTTATTATTTTTAGCTCATTTAACTTTTGCTCACTATGTTGGTCACACCCTTTTTTGTAAGCATTATTTTTAGGGATTTTAAATACATTAAATTATACACTTTCAATGCTTTAAAATGGATATATGGATAACTCGATTTGTATTATTATGCTATTTTTTATGTTTTTAGAAGTTGAGGACAAATTTGTTAAATATTTATAAAGAGAATATTGTGAATTTACACGTTTTTTAATAAGACTGCTAGACCTTATTACTGTCTAAATTAGATTCATAATTGCTTCAAAAGTTTTTAAAAATAAGGTTTAGGTTAGGTTAGAGACTATTAGGGGCCGAATTATAATCAAAATAAGAGATTAAAAAATCAATTGCATAATTTTCATGAGTTTAGTTTTTTTCTTTTTCAATCTGTGATTGTCTTTTCATCATATTATCCTATCATTCTTCTGTTACGATTTTGTTATTATCTAATGGAATCAAATAATAAAAATTGAATTTTGGATTCGTCGATTTAAGTTTGTTCTTTTTTTCCTTAATCTTGATTTTGCTATTTTCCGAAATTAGAATGGAAATTTAAATCTTAATTTGAAATTGAATACAAATTGGATTGAATGACCCGAAATTTAATTTATATAAATTAATTTAGTTGATTAGTTGTTTAAATTTTAATTTACAAAAGAACTATAGTTTTTAAATTATTTGATTATTTTAATATTATGATTGATTTGTTTATAATATGGTGAAATTTCATTTTTAATATTTAATTTATTCTTTTACTTTACATTTTGCGTTCTCCAATCCCAAAATTCTTAATATTGAAAATGAAATACAAATTTGTTGAAAAACAAAATTTAAATAATCTTAATATTTTATTATTTCACCTAGACAGTAATTATTAAACCTGATTCAAAAGATGGAATATATGATGATATTCAAATTCATATAAAATTCAATAAAATATTTTTTTATTAGATATTTTGTAACTCGTTATTTATATGTATAATTATCATTACTATAAAATATTCTAACCCAAACTACATGAGATTTTTCTCCTTACATTCAAATTTTCTCTCAAGAGTCACAACATAAAATTATTTCTTCCAATATTTTACACCTAATGATTATTTTATGTTTTTTTTTCTTTGAGTTATTTCCTTTTACCACCAATTTATTACTATTACTATTACCATTATTATATATTATTATTATACATGATTAATTAATTAATAAAAATATTTTTTTTTCTAATTTCACTTTATACCTTATATTATTATATATTTTTAGCAAGTTTTTTAGACATTTTTCTTTAATCATCAAATTTCAACAAAAGTGGTGTATATTTTATTTACAGTCATCGAGTTCAAAATGCAACCATTATAACTTTTATGTAAACTAATAAAAAGAAAATAATAAAAAATATTTGTCAATTATTTCTATCTTAAAGTAAAATTTGACAATAAATTCATTGAATAAATTTTTACATTTATTTCTTTACATAGATGTTAAAGAAAGTGGGGAAAGGGTTGGAGTCCAACCGTTGGACTGGTCTGGCTGCACGATTTTTTATTATAACTTCAAATTGTCAATATTTATGTATCTTGTGTAATATAACACACAGACACAAACATAATATATATATATATATATATATATATATATATATATATATATATATATATATATATATATATATATATATATATATATATATCATCTTAGATAGATTTTGTCACTTTAAACGTAGAAGAATGCACAGTATTTCTTTATTCTTGTTATGCGAGTTTATGATTCTCTTATTTATTTATGTTATGTTTTATTAAAGTAATATGACATTATTACATATTAATTAATTGCTCAACGAAGATGGCTGTTCTATTTTTCCAACCTGCCGGAAGCTATTTTCTTAGAACTCGATCATAAGCAAAGCTAACTAAATTTTACGCTAATTAAGAACAATAATTAATATTATTTAATTATACCAATCACATTAAAGTTTTTTTCTTAAAATGTTCCCTGTTAAAAATTAGTATTTAAAATACAATTTTAATTAATTGAAATATATTTTTACAGTAAGAGAAATAAAGAAATAAAATTAAAGGATTCATTTATTTATATTTTTTATTATTCTCCTCGTTTTCTTAATGGTACATTTTTAACAAAATAAATTCTCATTATTTTTTATTTTTAAAAATTGTAGACATAAATTATTTAGATATACCTTAATTTAAGTATTATAAAAGAGAACAATACAAAAATATAAATAATAACACTTACATGAAAAAAAAAAAAGGTTTAATAGACCTCAATCACAGTGTAGTGTCCCTGAACACTAAATTCCTGAAAAATTAAAATTGGGCTTTGAACGAGATAGAGTAATAGTACTTGAATTAACCTAGGACCCGCTTCTCCCAAAAAAACAAAAACAATAAATAACATGTTGTGCTTATCCCATTCCATTCATGCTATGAGGTGCAACAGTACTACAATACCCCATTCTAAACGCAGTAGCAACAGTCAAACTTAAACAGCGGAATGCGACCACCTATAAATACCCAACACTTCATTCTTCTCTTTGTTTGCAATTTCTAACTACCAAGCCGAAACACACACAACCCCAAATCTAACTATTTAGTTCTGTTTCCTTCGGTAATCCCTCTTCTTTTTTCTCTTTCTTTTTATTATGCACACCTGCTAAACTAACTTTAATCTATTACATGTTTTTACTTTTGTTGTTTTGTCTTCAAATTCCAGAAACATCGGCTGCACAGTATCCCAGAAGATCGGACAGGACTTCACACAGACAAACCCAAGCTCTGAAACGCGTGTCCAACACTTACCTCTCGGGTTCTCACTTGTTTTCCGACCATACCCTGGTCCTCTTTCTCTCTCTATCTGCCAAAGTTTTCGTCTTTTCCCCTTTTATTTCAGGGTTTGTGTAACATTTTTCATTTGGGGTTTGGTAACTGTTGATTGTGGTGATTTTGGGGGAATTAGGGTTTTTGTCTTTTTTTTTTTTTATAGATTCAGTGAGATTGAGGAGGCTGAGAAGATGCAGCAGACACCGTCAATGATTCCTATGATGCCTTCATTCCCACCTACTAACATAACCACCGATCAGATTCAAAAGGTATGTTTTTTTTTCTGTTTTAATACCATTGTTTACCTTATGGATTGTTGAACTTAGTTGTTTTTCATAATTTGTTATGGGTTCATTATTATTATTATTATTATTATTATTATTAGTTATTAGAGGATTGGTAGCAACACATTCTTTATTATTACTTGGAATTTATTGTAAAGCATGAAATCATGTGTAACTGTAACTGCTCAGAGAGGGAGTTGGGTTCACATAATTTTTGTGATGTCCAATAATGTTTAGCTATCGGTAAAAAGTGTGTTTAAAAGAGTTTATGATTTATGAACTTCTTTTTCTTATTATTATTTTGTTGAGGAAATTGGGAGGTGACACTTGTTCAATACAAAGTGAGAATGAATTGGATTTGTGCTAATCTGCAATGAATTTAATCATGTAGTTTTATTTTTGTCATCATTAATTCATTATTTATTGTTTTCTTCTATTGTCTCTCATGATGGGGATTACATGTATGTTTTAAATAAAAAGTTCACGACCAACTAATAATTAAGACAAAGGAGTATATATATCTTGGATAATTCTTTGCACTAAAAACTGCAAAATCATGTCTTCTTTGAGATGTTAATTTACTCAATATTGAATTTCATCTAAACTACATGTATATAATATCTGGAATCATCAGTAATCGAATTAGTATCTAGTATGACAACAACATTTGTTTATGTTGGTTCTGATTTAGGTTTTCTTTGATGTCTAATTCAGCATGTTGAACATTTGTCACTGACCCAAAAGCATATTTTAATGAACTATGCCACTCATTGACAATCTTGTCTTGAGGTGTGCTGGCTGCATCATAGTTTGTAGGGATGTTAATTAAATATTCAAATGGGCTGATTGAGAATCTATTATTAATTGGAATCCTGTGCAATTTGTCAAATTTATGATCAACATCTTCCAAATATATTCAAGTGACAAAACCCTTGAAACTTTGTTATTCTACACTAAAACACGTTTAGTTTCCAGTTAACAAAGGATATGCTGGTGGAACCATTCTTCTTTCACCAGTGATGTTTAAATTGCCTCTTTGATTACTAATGAGTAATTACAAAGCAATGTATAGGGTCTTTATTTTATTATCTTTTAAACAGTTAGGAAATTGAAGTTCATAGGTTATGGATCTAAAATTCATTTACAGTGTAAGGTCGGTTACTACTCCATTTAAATTATTTTACCAAAAGTTTTATTTCAGTCTTCTGAATTTTTTATCTTAGCTTTATGGGTATCTTTAGGTCTGGTTGGTTTGACAAAACATTTTCTGTGTTTGTTTCTTTTCTATTAATAAACAGTGCCTCTCTGTTTTGATTTTGTTTCATGTTTTTAAATATTTGGGCATGCAGTAAACAATGGAAAACCCATAAGTCCTTGAAAATAGAAAACAAAGTGAAAAAAAGTGTAATTGTTTTAATTATTAGTGAAATCACAAAGTAAAAAAGGAAAACAAATTCTCAAAGCAAATAACTCATGTTTTTCAAAGTATTTTAAGTTGAACACCAGTGTGAGACTTGTTGATAAACAATGGAAATAACTTCAGTTTAGCATTAAAAAAACTTAATTAGGCATCTCTTGTCATTCTCTTGCATTGGAGTGATTCCGCAGATGAAAAGTAACAAACATTTTTAAGAGTTATAACCCATGAATCATTTAATCAATTAACTTATAGTTTGGTAACAGCATATAATTATGGGTTTGAACATACCTGTTGATTTACCACAGTAGGTTTTGGGTCTTTAGTAAACCCTGAAAATAAGGAGGTTGTTGGTTGGATTAAGGTTTGTAGCAATGTGCATAATTTTTTACATAGGGTGAATGGATTTTTACTTGTACCCAAATAAGATGTCGACACAATCAGATGGCTAAGCAAACTAAGTGTATTGATGCATGTGGGACTTTACTGCAGTATCCTGGATCCATGAAAAAATGTTTTCTAATAAATGATATTGTTAATTTTATTCTGTATGTATTAGGCTGTTTCCAGGATAGAATTTCAATTAATCTATTTCCTCTCCTAGTTTTCACTTCACAATTTAAATGATATAATGAGTTAAAACAAAGTAAGCTGCAAGTGCCTTCATTAGTTAATTTGATACTGTGTCATTGCTCATGATGCAGTACCTTGATGAGAACAAGAAGCTGATTCTGGCAATATTGGACAATCAAAATCTTGGAAAACTTGCGGAATGTGCCCAGTAAGTGACCTCTAAATTCTTTTTGACTGCATTTTTGTTAGTACTGATGGTTGGCTTGCCTAATCCTAACATTTATCTGTGCACAATGGGTGGGGCTATTGATAATTGTTCTTTCACTCTCCTCAGTCCTCACTAACTTCAATTACATCCAAGGTTATATAATTTATTGTGGTCTTTTTTTCTGAATAATGACGCGTTCTAGATCCTGATCTATTTCCTAGAAATTATCTTCGAAGGTGTTATGGCCTAGTTTTGCACCAGTTTTATGTGATGGTTTACTGCATTAGGTACCAAGCCCAGCTTCAAAAGAATTTGATGTATTTAGCTGCAATTGCCGATGCCCAGCCTCAGACCCCAGCAATGCCTCCACAGGTGAAAATAGAGCATTGCTGGTTCCGTGGAAGTCTTGTCAGTTTCCCATAACCTTGATTTTATTGCCTTGCAGATGGCTCCACACCCTGCCATGCAACCAGGATTCTATATGCAACATCCTCAGGCAGCAGCAGCAGCAATGGCTCAGCAGCAAGGCATGTTCCCCCAGAAAATGCCATTACAATTTGGTAACCCACATCAAATTCAGGATCAGCAGCAGCAGCAGCTACACCAGCAGGCTATCCAAGGTCAAATGGGACTGAGACCGGGAGGGATAAACAATGGCATGCATCCAATGCACAGTGAAGCTGCTCTTGGAGGTGGCAACAGTGGTGGTCCACCATCGGCTGCCGGTCCAAATGATGCACGTGGTGGAAGCAAGCAAGATGCTTCTGAGGCTGGGACAGCTGGTGGAGACGGGCAAGGTGGCTCTGCTGAGGGGTCAGAAGCGGCCAAGTGACATGCTTTTATGTGCTTTTCATGAGATATATGACTGTTGATAGTAGGTTTTTCTTAAAGGTAGGTCTAGTGTGATCTGATGACCATGACCTTTGATGGGTCAACCAAAGGACTTCTCTTGTTTGATAGATTAGGTAGTTGTGTTCCTAGAATTTTGGCACGCAGCAAGTTTGCATCAACTGGAACTGCTGTTGCCACCACATATTGTACTCGTTATTGAAAGAGGTGTAAGCATGTGGTATTTTATGATTACCTTAATTGCTTGCTTTTTTTTAACAATTGCTTTGCAGTTTGCAGTTCTCATATCCTTTAAACAATTTGTCTGCTCTTGGTTCAATTATATACCTATTGTAGGCATCAATGGAAGCAGGAAATGGATGAATTCATGGTCTGCACCTAAAGGATGTGTCTTTATTATGGTTATTTTGAGAGTGTACTTGGCTGGTTTTGGGTGTTCTTCTGGTTAATTATCAGATGGTCTTGCCAGTGAAAGCTGGTCTGCTGCAAGGATTTTGTTCGTGGGTTATTTCTGTAAAGTTTTGTTGTTGTGTTGAGATACCTAGCTTTTTGAAAACAAAATTCAGAGAAAAATAGAAGCTGGTGGACTTCTGACTGAGATGAATTTTGTTGGAGTAATGTTACATTTACTTTCTCTAAAATGGCAATCTGGGTAGAGATTTGATCCCTGAAACATTGTAGGTGCACGCTTTAGTCTTCAAAGATGTCATTTTTATACTATCAATTTAGTTTTCAAATCTGATTAGATTTGCGTTGGACTTATAGAATGTCAAAGAACTATAAATGTCAATGTTTGACAGTTTGTGCTCTAAAAATTCTACGCATAATGTTTGGGAGACATGGTTGATTTGATGTTTTTAGGATTGATTTCCAGATGTTTAAATAATGTTTGTTAAGTGAAAATTATGTTATGTAAATATAGATGAATCTTTGGTAGTTAATTTTGGAATAATGTCTATGTAAAAACCACCTTTACAAGTTAATCATCAAATGATAACTGTTGACGTTGTAAGTAAAATAAAACGTTATTCACTGATTCTCGATTTAGAGGAAAATTAAAATTAAAAATAAAAATAATGATAAAGAATAATTAAGAAATGAAATGGAAATTTTTAATAAATGGGAATGAAATTTTTTTCTTAATTCGTTTTAATTTGGAAGAAAACAATTTTTGTTGGTCTCAATTTTTTATTTATTTCTCTTCTCAAATAAATGGTAAAAAAAAGATATTCTCATCTCAATTCTGTTTTCCAGTCTTTCTATCTAAATGAATAATGAGATAAAAATTTTGAAATATGAAAATGGGAATGAATAGGCATAATGTGACATGTTTGGTTGAATAAATTAATAGAGAATATAGAATGTACTAGAGTAGAATGGTCCATGACATAACACAACTATCATAATTTTCTCAAATTTCTCACATAACAATTTTTTTATAACCTGCTTTTAAAAGAAAAGAAAATTACTTACAAAGTGTAAAAATTACTTTAATTAATAATTATCTTTAAATTTAACCGACTATAAATTTATACTAAAATAATATTTTATTTACAACCAATTATTATAAACTATGTTCTTATTATATTCACAATCAGAGTTCTCAGCGATGCGAAAAGTTGACTTAAATTTAAAATAAATGTTTGTGAAATTGAATATTTTGATTTTGAATGTTGTAATTTCATGACCAATCAAAGTGAAATCCTTAAAATAGTATAGTAAAGGTATTTTCGAAAAAATATTTACGTTATAAAAGGATAAACAAAATATAACTTTTGTATAAGTTAATATTAATTTACTTATAAATAAATTATATGAGATAATTTTCGAATAAATTAATTACAAAAAGTTATAAAAGGACAATTCATAAGTTATGATAATATAAAATAAAAAGTGCATAAAATTTCTAAAATAAAAAATACACCACTTAAAAATATTTTTAATAATTTAGGCTAAAACGACGGCAAGTTGTTAAGTTCATGAACTTTGACGAAACAATAAGTAACTTCAGTGATTTTGGGATTGTCACGTAGATGTGAAAACGTGATAGAGATTAGGTCCTTTCTTTTTTTCACATGTTCATGACACTTTCTTCTTGATAAGTGGAGCTAATAAGTCGATTTTAGATGTTCAATATTTTTTAATTGTAAGATTAGATATTTGTTAGAGATGTCAAAATGGGTCACTCGGTCCAATCCGATCCGGTTCACTACCGGTTGATCATTTAGTGAGTTAACCTAATTCGATTGATTTATTAGCGAGTTAGAAAAATTTGAACCTGATCCGACCCATCACTAGTTAGTAGGTAAAGGAGTTGACTCAATGACTCACTTGATTACAATTTTTGTTAAGTAAAAAAAATTACAAATTTTTTATAATTCAAATATAAACAAATTTTACTCCCAAATTCCACTCTGGGTGTTTAATTAATTTTGAAAATAAGAAACTTAAATAATCTTTTTAAGAAAATAATAAATATTTTTTATAAATTAAAATCAAATTTTAATAAAATAAAATAAGGTAGGTGGGTTGGTGGGCCAACCCGGTCCACCAGGATTCAATCCGCATGAGTCGGGTTTAAATGAACCGGATTAAAATCTGACCCGCATAAAAAAAAAAAATACAATATTTTTAAACCCAACCCAGCTAGAACCGGTGGTGGACCGATTGACTCGCAGGTTGTGACCCATTTTGTAAATGATTTGATGATGATTGTTTGATAGCATATATAATACATTTAATAAAATTTATTAAGATAGGTTATGATATATTTTAAGAAAAAAATTTAATTTAATTCAATTATGTAAAATTAATTTATAAAAAAATATTTATTACCTATCCATTAGAAGTTGTTATATTTAGAAAATGGGAGCTGGTATAAAATTCCAAATCTTTATTTTGTATTCTATATTTGTTTGCATTTAACCTTTTTATACTTATTATATAATATTAATTTCTTTCACTTTCATTAGGTACTAAAGGAATATTATTTGTATTTTCCAATTTTGCTTCCTTCATCATCGTTAATTTATTCTATCGATAAATGAGTTGCGTAAGGAAACAAAAAGCATATACTACGGCAAAATTATTGTATAAATTAACTTCGGAGTTCATTCCAAAAAAAATAATGGAATTGAATAATAACTACTCATTGACCAAGAGGATAAGATTTTTTATTTAAGGGGCTAATAGAAAGAAAAAAAAACTCAGCTCACGCTGTTTGTGTAAGAAATATATGCAAGTAACTCTGACTTTTATGTTTTAACTATAAAAAATTTAGATCTATTTTTTAAATATATTAATTGATAATTATTTTTATACTCTTAATTTATCTTGAAAAATATTACGAGACACAAATTACTCATATAAGTGGGTGTGTTTGGTTTAAATTAAATTTGAGTGAATTTTTTTAATTTCAAACAACGTTGGTATTTTAAATGCTTACCATTTTCATGGGTGAAAGAAATTGTTTAAATTATGAGTAATATTATTAAAAATATATTGATAAATTAAAATGTTTATTTTATGATAAAATTGACCCCGCTTTTGCTTAGTAGGGTTGGGAGTCAAAAGAAATAAAGTTCGAGATAAACGTAACTGGTGTGGATCATCTTCTTTCACTATGTCATGCGTAAATGTAAATGAATTAATATGTAGGTCTGATCTGCTAATCATTGGTTCAAATTCTTTTATAAATTAAAAAAACAAATTGATTTTTATTTTATTTTTTAATTATTTAAATGAATTGGGTCCAAGCTTTATATTAATAGATCATGAATAACTTGGTACATGTTTCAAAGTTTAGGTTTTATTAACTAATACTAACCTACATTTTTGTTCGAAATATTAGTTTCTTTTTTGATATATGAATTAATTTTCTGATAAAAGGTTGAAACATATATTCTTTACAAGTAGATTAGTATTAAAATAATGTAAGAAAAAGTTCATATTTGAATTATAAATATCAATTAAATTATAAACAAACTAAACAAAACAAGATAAAACTTTAATATTTTGTAATATCTCAAAATCGAAATTTTAAATAAGCTCAATTAAATAAATAGTTAAGAATTTCAACTATTAATTTATTTGTTTTAGAAAATGTATTCTATCTTTAAACTCATTTTCTTTATATTTTATCTATTTGTTTTTTAGTTAATAAAGCTACTTGTCTTCTTTCTTCTTTTTTTTTTTTGAAAAAAATCCTGCCAATAAGAAAGGGATAACATCTTTGACCTTTCTATCCAATTAGTATTTGATTTTGATTTTGATTTTATCTTTTACTAAAAAAATAGTTTATCTTTTCTTTCTAGTTCCATTTGTGTATATAATAGGATTTTACGTATTGAAAGTTAAGAAAGTTGTGATATCCATTAGTCTAATATGTCACTAGAGTTTTGGTTGTTTAGGTGGAGTTTTCATTGCATTTTGGAGACTTTATATTAGTTTCAACTCTATTTTTGTATCTCGTGAATTGTTGCTTAGTTTTTAAGCATTTGTCAAGTAAAGCAAACTAAGTTCAACTTAGTAAGATTGAAAGTGTGTTTTGGACTTGTTGAGGTACATTCGTTATATTATTTATGAGTTTTTTTTAGATGGTTGAAATGTGAAAGTAATTGGGTTGTAGTCTTGTGAATTGCTAAATCTTATTAGGTGTATAGTATAACTTTATTTGATTGACACATATTAAATTGTTTGATGAAAATTGGATTTAGAGGTTACAAACATGTTGGGGGGACTAAAATTACTTGTTTTAATTGTTCAATTAGTTGTATAATATGTTTGCTTTTCATGTTCAAATATATGATATATCTTTATCGAGAATGTGGTTGGATATTAAAAAGTGTACGTAATGAATTTAGGGTTCTTTTATGATATGTTGAGGTAAACTTGTTATGATGTTAGGAATGTTTGCAAGTAATAGCGAGAGTGATTGTATTATTACGAATACATTGTATGTATCCAAGTTATAATGATACATAGAAAAATAATGTATAATATTCTAAGAGCCATACAAATTTTTAAAACTAACTTGAGAGTGAATAGTCGCCAATAACAAGATATACAAAACTTACCCAACAAAAATAAAATTTATACTTAGTCTTTTCGATTTTAAAGTTAATACAACCTAACCTCATATAATTGATTTTGAAAAAAAAAAGTATGTAAACCTAGCCGAAACCAAACTAAAATATTTTGATTAATTTAAATAACTAGCTAATATATATATATATATATATATATATATATATATATATATA